TCGAAAGTGTAAACTCTTTCTAGCGGAGGGCTCCTGTAGTGACTCACATTTATCACGAGAACCCGACTGGTTTAATAAAAACAATTATTATTATAACCAACTGTACCAGTGTTTGTTTTAATGTGCTTTCGTTTGACTGTGCTAATGACAGCTATATTGTGCTTCCATTCTTATTCTCACTCTTTGATTGTGACTTCGCGCGAATTCGGTTAAGTTCTGTAAGCAAGCTTGTATCCTGGCACGATCTCGGTATCCTTTCGATACCACGAGATCGCCAGCGAATATATCTCGACTTGGTCCATTAACTGCCTTCTGATATTTGGCTTCTCGGGGATTTTATGCATCTATTTGGTTACGTTCAACATTCGCCTTCCGATTCATTTGGCAAGCGATCCTTGGTAGCGGTGTTCATAGTTAATCTTGACTCGACACCACGCTACAACTTCAACTATTTTGACTGTTTTGTCGCTTTAAAGTCTTAAATATGTTTGTCTTGAACGTGGTAACACAGTTCTTCTCACACATTTAATAAAATTTCTGACCAAACCCCTGATATTCATACCAGCCGCAGTCAATGTGTTAATTTCAACATTTTGTGGATTCTTTAAATCAAACCCTTTTAAAAATTCGATCAAGCAACCTCATCAGGTAGAGTTTCAGTGTGCGATTAAACTCACTTTTTACGCTGACTAGCCAGTTTACAAGCAGTAATTTATGCTTGCTGATCATCCAAATCAAACGTAATCTTCATATCAGTTACTATAAAATTCTTTTTAATTTACACTTGGGAAATTTTGTTAAAAGAGACAGTTAGAAGAATCACTTGAAAACCCCTCTGAATCATTTTGTCGAACAGTCTTTATATACATTTAATTGTTTGTCCTGTGTTTTATTGAAACCTTCACCCAGGACTTTTATAACGACGATTTCATATCTCTAAATCTTCTTTAAATAGGTCCTAATTATTTAACGTTGTTAGAAATGCAACTGTACTATTTGAGGCCATTTTTATAGGATGTTAGGCCATTGATAATAAGGTTTTGTTAGATTAAACTAACAGTCACAGAGTAGAGTGGTTGATCATTGTTTTTCTTTGACTATCTTATGAAAATGGTTATTCAAATATTGGCAGATATATATTCTCTTATTTAGTTGGAATAACTGTTGTTTATTAACTTTTATTTACTTTCATTGAGAGTCGTCCTATGATTATTGCCAGTTCCAATCCCAGGTAAAGAATTAAGGTTGAAGCTAACAACCTAATACTGTTGAAATAAATTTGTCACAAAAACATTCGCAAAAGACATACAATTATTACCACGCATAAGGATTTACACTGATGCAATCCAAATAAGCGTAAAACGTTCTTACTGGATGAGAATCTTATGTCTCTACGATTAATAAAGCATCCTTCAAAGAAAAATGGTAGGGAATACAATAAACATCATCCAGTGCTTTGCGACCGCCGGTGACAAAAGTGGAGATGATAAGAATTGGTTTCATGAGAGGCTTAAAGATCATCAACAATGATGACCTATGTCGAATAATTGGCGGCCTGCTCGAGTTAGACGGCAACAGTTCGCCCAATAGCTAACGTCGAAAGCACACCTTGCGGTCAGCACCTAACGTGGATTATCTCTTCATCGCATCAAGGTACTATGGATGCTTCAAAAACCGCACAACACAAAGGACGTTATTACGGAAATATATTATTAAGAACGAGTACAGAGAAGTTAGTGAAACCACCACTATCATACTATTAATCGATGCGCGTTGGTTGTCCTTGACTTCGACAGGGATCGATGACCTGTTCGATATTTAATGACACAAATTCCGGATGATTTGGTTAGAACTCAGTGACGTTTCACTGGGCCTACAGACTGAATTAGATCGTGGAAGGCTGTCCTGGAGAAACGTGAATGCGGATATGAATTACATAGGGTGTGATGACATCATCTAGCGACGTATACTGAAAGGAAGGAACAAGAAAGATTATTTCAACAACATGGTCAGAGGCAGTAGCATTTTTCCTTTAAATCAATAGACATTGCTTGATTGGCTTTGTAGAAGCACGCCATGGAGAACCAGATCGATCACATTTACATCAAAATAATTTAAAAGGTTCACGGAAGACCTAAGGTCTAAAATAAAGCTGATAGATCTGCGGATCACCACTTAGTGGTGATCAAATTGAAGTTAGAGAATGCCAAAAAGCTGAACAAACAGTAAAGCATAAACATGTCACAGCCTCTCTTTTAGAAGCTGGCAAGTTCGACGAATGTAAGATAGCTTTTAGCAACAATTTCCAAGTCTTGGACACCCAATCAAAGAAAGACTAGAGAAGTAATGTCTTCACATTGTAGGGAGTAGGTCTTTATAGACAGCACAGACAAGATTGCAGAAGAAAAAATAAGGCAGCAGTTAACCACAACCAAACGAGATCAGAAATCATCAAGGCAACAGAAAAATATACAGATGAAATATCCAGAAGATGTGAAATTCATTGTTAAAAAAGCTGGAAAGGAAGAAAACATAAAAGAACTATATTGCGAAATAGAGAAACTAGCAGGAAAGTATGACTAGACGGAGCGACTAGCAAGAAATATAAAAGAAAACTCAGTTTCTCAGTATCAAGGCCAAATTAACTAGCTCTTAAAAGGACCAGCTAGAGTGATTATGTAAAAATGTAAGCTGAGTGGTTAAAAGTCGGTCAAAATTCCCGATAATGTCAAAATATTGTAGTTTTAGTATTTATTTACTTTATTATTTCGCACATGTTTTCTATTATTCTATATAGAACACTGAAAATCTTGTGTATGAAAATAATTAGAACGATAAATTAGAAAGAGCAAACTTTATCAGCCCATTGAACATCTGTAATCACTTGGCTGTTGTCCATTTTGGGTTTTCTGGAATGACTGGTACTTTATTTCCCACAAAGTGAATTACTTGAGCCTCACTCGTATGCGCAAGAAAATATATGGGGTCGTCGGGGTTTAATATTTCTCATTTCTCATTTACTGTAGTTGTGTTTTTGGTGTTGTTGGCAAACGAGGTCTAGATTCTTGAGGTGGGATTCTCTATCCAAACTTGCGGTTAAGAAGTCATTAATATAATATTGCAAGACGTTCAAATCTCTGAATGCGTCATCAATCAATCCTTGACGAGTCTGCACAGCATTTCTTAGACCGAAAGGTATGAGCAGAAATCTGTGAAGTTCAGAACAGTGGGGTAAGCCGTTCTAGGAATGGTTGCCTTAGTCATAGGAATTTGATTACTATCTATCACTAAGTCAGTTTGATAAACGACAGTCATACCTTTTAAGATGGTTACCAGGTAGTGGATGTGGGACGGGAGGTAACGATCGTGATTGTTTTTTGTGTTTACTCGTCGATAATCATCATTTGGACAAAAGTCATTGTTATCCACTTTGGGGACCGTATGCAAAGGAGATGCCTATGAGTTGCTTGATGGCAGAATAATGCCTAACTTTATTATATGACCGGATTTGTTCTGGGCTGGTCTAAGCATTTCAGGAGCTGGTCGATGATCTTTTGAGAATCCATGTGGTCCTGTAGTACAGCTATGATATGCAATAATGCCCGTTACACCACGCAATTTTGATCGAGTTTTGTACAATCAAGAGTACTTGTTGATCATTAGTTTGAAGTGTAGATGAATTTTAAGATGCCTCGAGTGTTCGACGTTTGATAAGCCCTTTACACGTAACATCTTTGTAATCGAAGTACGCCAAACCAGTCAAATCAGAAATGAAGAGGTTCGAAGATATATTTAAAGGACCATCGATATATCGGGAAGCGTTTGATCTAAGCTGGTTAACAGTCGTAAGATATTCGTAGCACGGCGTACCTACTCGTCATCTGGTGAGAAACGCTTTCAGATGGATTTATCCATTGAAACCACTTAGGTCAGCATCAAGCGTCGAAGACCTACGGAAATTTATTTATTTATTTACCGCTGCAGATTAATTGCCTAAACATGACCAGCCATAACATGCGACCAAAAAATGAAGCTACTAAAACAGATAATTTGGTATCGCTGTCTACCTAAACCCCTTTGCTTGGATCAACGAGCGGGCCAAGGTTCATTCCAACGACTGGCATTTACACGAATGCAACAACAAAATACCGAATGGGTAGGTTTACGTAAACCCACGTTATGGTAAACATACCTTTTAACGTAGGTGGCGGTTAGTTCGGGGTTTAATGAGTGAGTATCTTCAGTTAGGTGTATGTCTGGCAAAAATAACGAGATCATCATTAATACGGAAAACTTATAAAACCATTAGTTTTGGGTATTTAGTTACCACTACAATTTCTTCGTCTGAGGTTCGTCGGCTAATAATAATCACTTTTAAATAAAATACTGAATTCGCATATTACTTAGATGACTTTAATGGTATCAACTTTACTCGTTCAGTTTCTTTCAGGAGCTTTCACTCTCGTTTTAGACAACCGTATCAACTCATACTTGACATCCAAGTGCATTTCCACAATTGTCATATAAGTTTGTCCTCGCATTACTGTTATTACTAATATTTGAGAAATAGCTAGATGAAGAATGATCTGTTATGTATCACAATGTCAGTGTATAATAAAATGTTTTGTTTTTCTTCTCTCCTCATTGACAAAATCGAAGGTTGGTCGAAGTTAACCAATAGTTTTACTGGACGTGGAGTCGCGGTGGTTTGTATTGTTGGTTTTACAATTATCCGAAATCTTATTCATATTTTCCCCAGTTTCGACTCACTTTAATTGCGTCGACTGGTTGTTTGTTCACTGTCTACTGTTACCAACTTTCTTCACTTCCTCTCCATACTGCATTCACGGTACCCATCAGTTATTAGGCTCAATTTCTTCCTCTTCCTCCTGGATTCGTGGTTGATTCGTGTACTACTACTGAAATTACATTCATCTTTGCAATTTATTTAGTACGTATCTGCGGACTAGAAGTAAACCCACAAACGACTAGGCGTCGAAATGTTACTTTTACTGTTTGTATTACTTAATAATATCATATACCCAACATTAGCTATATATCCAGATGATGATTGCAATAAGTGTAAACATGCTGCAAAAAGTTTTATCTTAGGATTTCACAAATCAGCTGGCAAAAATTTTGGAGGAGGGAATTCTTTGTGGGAAGAAAAGCACCTAGGGAGCTATTCTGTTAGCGAAGTGCGCTACCACGATATTGTTGAAGGGATCTGTAGTGATGTCAAGCAAGCAGTTAAATGTCATGAGTTTTTAGAAAGTATTGAGCATCATTTAGAAGATTGGTGGCTTAGGGAATACAGGATTGATTCTAATAAAGTACAAGGGTTTGAGGAAGATTTATGCGTCACTCGGACCAAGTTTTGCTGTCCTGCCAACTCCTTTGGGAATTCTTGTCTTCCATGTCATCCATGTTACCTTTTTGGTGGCAGGTGTGATGGTAATGGGACACGTTCTGGAACAGGTAATTGTATTTGCAACGACGGATATACAGGAGAGTTATGCGACAAGTGCACCTTTGAAACTCATTTCCAGTCCCACAGTGACTTCCCAATATCATGCACACGATGTCATTTGTCGTGCTCCGGTGGTTGTTCTGGTCCATTTCCTGAAAACTGTTCTGCGTGTGCCGCTGGATGGATCAAAGTAGACTCCGGTGATCAACGAGGATGTGTTGATATAAATGAATGTATTGATAGTCCTTGCAACAGGTCTACACATTTTTGCTTAAACAAACCTGGTTCTTACGAATGTGTTCCCTGTCATCCTGCTTGTAACAAATGTTCTGGTTCGACTGCGAACGATTGTGAATCTTGTGCAAGCGGTTACCAAAGAGGAAACGGAGACGTATGTGAAGATATAAACGAATGTAATGCTGACAGCAATATTTGTAATAGCGAAGGAGAAAGTTGCACGAACACAGTTGGTAGTTTTAAATGTGATTGCAAGAGTGGATATAAGCGGACTAGTAGTGGGTGCGTGTTGAATGTAAAGCCAAGAAAAGGTTCGCAAACATCTGGTAAGTTTGAATCACAGTCAACAGTTCATAACATTAACTCACGCAATCGTAACACGCAAAGAATAATATGGACTGTAACTTATACGAAAGAATTCCTCAAATACTCTGCTTCTCTAGCTACATTTGGCACCTTTTGCTGGTTTGCTAAGGGACACCCTTTCGCAATTCTGTTTGCGTCACTACTAATCGGCTCATTCGTGTATTTTCAGAGCATTAACTTTGATTTCGTATTTGCTAACCAGAAATAGACACTATTCCTTATTGAATTTTGTAATTTTTCCCTACAGAAAATATGAGAACTAGATGAGATGTTAATGAAGACGATACTGTGAAAACAGGGACACTATATTCTAACCATTTTTTTGAAGAACTCTGACTTCAGAGTAATATCCCATCTTTCCGTCCAAAACAAATTTTAAGCATGACTACTAAATGTATCCACTTTATAAACTTCGTGAATTTCATGTGTCTTTGATATTTTCTATATGCTCAAGTTTTTATCATGGTACCTCAGGTACGGTTAAATGTTACCTTTTGTACACAAACTGTTCTGTATTTTTAAAATTCGTGTGTTTTGCTAGTCATTCTCAAGATATTTTAATCAGTCAACACTGATAAATTCCTTTACCTCAGAATGTCTTTTTTCTTGCCTCTTTAATGGAAGTTATCACTGAATCGGCCTGAAAGTTATGTAGAAATAGTGTTAGGAATATGTAGAATGTCTCCGATCGAAACACCGTGTGCTACTTACTAGCGTTCTTTGTTCTAGCTGTTCAAGTCTTAATTCCTCTGTCTTTACTTGCTTTACAATAGATGTATTTCTGGACTTGTTAAGTGAGTGATTACTGGGTCTCATTTCGCTTGTTTATTCCTTAGAAGAGTCAGTTACAAAAAATGACTTGTCAAAAGTTTTTACTCCTGCCATAAAGCCCACGTTGTTCGCGGTGCGATTTCCGTTTATATCTTGAATGTATTAGTGTGTAATATTCATTCAGGTACTGTTTATCGTTACCTTAGTAGGGTTTTTTTCCAGTATTGCGGTTTGCCTCGACCTTTAAGGGACAAGGTAATACTTTAAGTTATTTCTAATGCTTCTTGGGTCCTTATAACACTGAGGGCTAATAAAAATAAGTTATTTGTCTTCACTGTTTAAAAATAGTCGTATGTCAGAATAAGTACCCCGTTTCACAAGTTTTTAGATCTATTAATAGCTATAATGTGCATGAATATCTTTAACGAAACTACTTTATAAATTTGTTAGTCTGATGGTTCGGGAAGGAAAACTTGGGATTTATGAAGTTGACTGTTGAATAACCATATGGCGTGTATAAACCCCTATGCATGTCTTGTACTTGTAATGTGTTTCCTCTCCACCGTTATGGTTCACGGGAAACATCATTCAGAGTGTATGTTTGTCAAGTGAGGTAGGACATTAAATGATTTAATGATTATATTTACTACACACTGTAATTTGACAAATAGGGGACCATCAGGTGGTAATGAAATAATTTTTTATATTACGGAGTTTATGAAATGGCTGTGCTGACACTGGTCGATAAGCTGTTTGAAATGCTAAATATCTAACAATTACAGTTAGCTAACACTAAAAGAAATAGAAGAGAAAAAAGTCGTGCCAATTCCATTGACTGTATACAGTAGTAAATTGGGGTAAAACAAAGTTATTGTTATCTCCACTTCAACACTAAGCCTTAGTAGGAATTTTTAACCATTAAACGTTCTTAAGTAGTTTATTAAATAATACGAGACAAAGACGTTTAATTACTCATGTAAAGATTAGGATAAATGTTTTAAAAAATGACTAAAGGCTTTATCTTCAGGTTTCGTGTGACGTGGGTCGTGGGTCGTCCCGTTTTTCTAAATAACTTCGATAAAAATTAAAACGAAAAAAATCAATATCTCAGGTCTTGAGACTTAACAATTTTACAGTTTTTGGGAGCGAGTTTCTTTAAGAGCAGAGTTTTATTTTAGTTTACCTATGCACTAAGGTAATCCCCATTCGGAAAGGAAGTTACAGGAATATGGTATTGAACATTTCAGTCATCTTTAAGAAAGGGAAATATCAATCACTGTTTCATATTATCTTTAATATCTTTAATAACAATGACTTAGCTACAATTGTATATGATAAGGATGTCTTTGTCACATTTATATAGTTTCGAAACGTGTAATGATTGCAAGTTGTCTGCTACAGTAAACCGACCAGTCTATATTTTAACATTTTCTGATGAATATTAACTGAGAATTATCCTTTGCTAAGGAGAATCGATGGAATCATGCTTTCGTTTTCTTTGGGTTTAGAAGGTACTTTATTTGAAACAGCTGTCTGAATTACCATCATACATGACCAAGCTACGATCAACTATCTAGTTGTGGCTTTTATAACTAACTCACTTCATAATGACGATAAGTGTTACTCTAATTTTTGTAGGGCTGCACAATATTAAACACGGTCCACCAGTATTCCTCATTGTGCCGCTAAAGGCTGTGCTGGTTCCAGAGAGCCTGGTCCTCTCAAAAAATTACCCTCTTGCAGAGTATGTTTATGACCACGAAGTGGGGGTATGGATCAATAGTTAAAGAATTGGAATTAGACCCACTAAATACTGGTTCAAACCTCATCCTATCTGCTGTAGTTTGGTCATCTGGGTATTGCCAATAGCCCTTAAATAAATGTTTATTCAGTAAGTGAGGTAAAATAAAACTATTGGTAGTATAGTTATATCAGGAATATCTAATCAATCCATCTTTTGGAAAATGACTAACATGTATCCAGTAGGTGAATAATCTTAAATGTATACGTAAGTTTTCAGGCTAATCATTTATTAAGTCTTTGAAATCCAATCTAGACATGTTTAATGCACGGTGTTTGTTCGCTTCTGTATAGTGTCGGAACAACAATGGTTATATACCAGTATGTTACTGGAGTGTTTTTTCCGAGCCATATGCTGTATAACATCCATTTAAATGTCAGGAGTTGCTTTAATTTTGAAAAAAAATTTGTCACTTAAGTAAGTATCATGCTTAACGAGACTTGTCCAAAATAACGAGAAATAGTCCCGAAATCACTTGAATCGTTGCGGTTAAATATGCCTTTTTTTATCTCGGTTTTTACAATTCTCATCTACTTTGTGTTTTACAATCAAGCGGTTGGTTCGGTCAAGCCTCAATGCCGCCGTTGTCTATTTTTCATACTGACCTCACTAGGTGAGGAGCGAAAAGAAACATCGCATCACAACAAAACATTATATGATCTTATAAGGTCAATCAGTTTTTCTTTGATTGTGAAACACATTATTCTTATTAACACAGGTCTTCCTAAGTAAATAAAAGTGACAACTAAATATAGTTATCAGTTGCGCGTCAATTTAGCGTTATTAGGTAAGGGATTGTATTTCGAATATTTGTAGTTAATTGTTTTGGCAGGTAAATATAATTGTCTCCATAATTCTATATATCATATCTCCACCATGAAAATTAACGTAAGGCAAATAATGAGTGCATGAATACTTCGCTAACATTTAAATCTTTATAAAATATGTTTATCTAAACTGTTGTTAACTGCATATTTCTAATGAATAAAGTTTATAATTTCATATATGAAAAATAAACAGACTGATTTTATAGGTAAGTTCATCGTTATCAAAATATATGTTTATATACGAATATTGAATAGTCTACCATTAGAATTATGTCATGTAGTTGTAGGGTTATTATATATATATATATATATATATATATATATATATATATATATATATATATATATATATATACATATATATATATATATATATATATATATATGGCTGAATTTACTTAGTTTTTCAAATCAAATCATGTTATACCCTCAACGTTTTAGCGATTTGCAAATTTTACTAATATTTTGGAATATTATTTATCATCTAACTTTTCTGATTAATGCTAATGGTAAGCAAATTTCACATTCGATTCATATCATATATAACTTAAAAATTTATCCGGAGTTGCCCTTATGCTTTACATCTATTTTATTCCTGTAAATCAATGTTTTCCGACTAATAAGATCTAAAAATATAGTGTGAAAATTCACTAATACTGATTAAATAGGTTCCCTTTAACAGATCTATCAGCTAGTCTCCTCACGATAAGTTCTTTTCTTCAATTGTTTCGGTGAAGCAATATTCATTTTATAAGTTTCGATGTAAAATTTGCTCATCTTCCATTGGATGGTTTTACAGATAGCCGTAAATATATAAAAAAAGTTCATTGAAATCATTCGTTTTCTTGCCAAGTATTTGAGGTTTTAGATCTCAATACTTCTTATTGAAAGGGTTCTGTATCGCATAAAGATATGTTTAGCGAAAAGAGACAACCAATAGGAAGTTTTACATTTAGGCTTATGTCCTCAAGATATGTTTATAATCTTGAGGTAGTTAATACTCCGTGTAGGATTTGAACCCTTGTTGAAGGTGAAGTACTAAACGTAACACTAAAGCCTGAACAACATGATACTGATTGCTACTACGCGATATATTATCATGGAAAATAACTGACAAACTGTAGTGTGTGAAGGAACTAATGATTCCTTTGTACTTGTTGAATGCTTGATTTCGAATTCCGAATACAGTACATTCGTTCGTGCTTATCTAGTACTTCTTGATCCGATTACGTTATTCCCGGGATTTTTAGTTCATAATATAATTCAAATATTCCTAATCACCATAAAAACGTCCTTATGAATTTTTATTATCTGGTTAGTGGATTTATAAATTCATGCATTTTCAACGTGGTCAACTCTTATAAAATGTTTCATAAATATGTTCTCAACCGATATTTATTGTGAATGTGGAAGGCTGAGCAAGAAACTGTACATATGGTATCATTTACGCCTAAACTTTCAATACTGAATATGTGATTGAAGTAGATTAGCAAATATTTGGGCAAACTGATGGTAAATCCTTCGGAAACTATTATTCTCGAAAGACACTGCACACACTTATACTAAATGCAGTTGTCTAAAGAGACAAATCTACGATACATTTAGTAAACAGTAAGACAAGTGTTTCATTTGTCAAGAAATTAGAATCCGTTTGCTAACTACTGTTGAGGACGCATTTGTGTATCAACCTGAAATTCGTTGTGACTTTGAATTTTGTCCAGTTATTGGAATGGTTTTTAAATTAATGAAACGTTTATGAATGTTCCTAAATCAATAGGCTTCTATGCATCTTCACAATATATACTATGTCACGTTTTATTTTTTTTATCCTTAAAGTTTTCTGGTTGCTAATGTATTCAGTGTTTCCAAGTCTTTTATTCATAAAATGATGGAATGCATAGAATCTAAAGCTGCAAATAGCTCGTTCTGTTTTCTGTCAATGAACACTGATGGGCACTGAAACCTGTCTTCAAATTAAGTCAGATTGTTAAGAAGTTCTTGTTAAATTTGTCTTGAGTTTAAGAACTGAATATTCAAACTTTCAAAGATTGAATTTCTAAAATAATGTTAAAGTTGTCAACTTATTTGTAATATGAGGAATGTGTGTATGGAATAAGTACAAAAAATGAATAGATGATCATATATTATCTGATATTTCTAGCTTCTGGATGCTTATCGTTTCCACAAAGTTTTGATAAAATAGTTCCTTGATATAAATAACATCAAGTGAGGATCGACTGAATGTCCAGTCCAAGTTATGAAATGTGACAATTAATTTTTATCGTGCATACTACTTAAAAATAATAAACAGTACAGAATCTTTGATAAAAGATTTGTATTGCTTTCTGTTGTAATGTATGTATAAACATACCTCTCGGCATAAGTGGTAAATCAGTTATTTGTTACATAGATATGTGTATATTAAAGTCAATGCATGAGATTTCATCAGCAACTCATGATTTGGTAATTTTATGTGAAGTTTAATTACTGTTTTTAACATGTATATATCTGTTTTATCATTCTTCTACGATCCGGTATACCAGAAGGAATCGGCTGAATAAAGTTGACTGAGGGTGCATGATGGTTGATCAATTAAATTTACTAACAAAAAATGTATTTGATTCACCTTGGAGGCGGTATTTTAAGTAAAAAAGACCTAAAACGAAGAAATATTTATTATCTTTGCTCTAATTCTTAATTGCAATTTTCACCATACTAAAAAGATGTAATACTCTCATTAGATGATTTGATACCACAGTAACCAGTAAGAATTTTAAGACGCAGAACTAATGCATTTAAATAACCCGCCTCAAACATTCATCCTTTGGGCTCTGGTGCCATGGCCCCAGGTCTCCAAGACCATTGCTAATCAAGTTTCCCTTTCAGGTTCTTCAATGCGAAGTTTCCTTCCGTTGTGTGGGGGACCAGAGAGTGGCTACCCTCCTATAACAGCACTGAAGATCCTGTTCTTCACGGTCGAACTTCATTATAACTCATTAATATTCCTATTATCACTATTAACCATTCTTCTACAACTTAATCTTTATTGTCACGCGCTGCCATCACTGATTATTGGGGTTCGTGAAATGTTATTTCTGGTCTCTAAAGTAGGTGTTGTAGCTTACAGTGTCTGTAACCCAAGTCAAACTGAACAACAAGCTTCCTTAGCTAGGGCTCTAGAATATCCATGCTGTGTCTATGAATCAAGCATACAGGATCCAGGTTTAATCACTGACTTGACCTTACTTAATCAATGTAGAAGTTTTGCGAGATTTGGCCGCTGGTTATCTAGTGGCTCGATAGCATCGAGACGTTAGCAAGTTCAAGATTAGAACAGGCTCTTTGACTGGATTCGAACAGACAGTAGCCTGTGTGCTCTTTAACTAAACGGGAAATACGAAGATAGAGAGATGGGTACACACACTGATGTTTCTTTGTCGTCTCTACCTACTTTCCTGTCGACTGTAGTCCGAGCAACTTAGAGGGTGAGTTTTACAGAAGGTTTCCTGTTCTCCTTCGGAAAGTCGAACGGTCAGTCATAATCGTAGAAGGGTATTTTAATACCCAAGAACGTAGTCTAAACCTAGACGAAAGACACTTAGATAGGGTCTTACAGTATTCCAGCTCAGATAACACAACGGCGATAAACTGCTACAACTATGATCAGATAACCACTTATACTTGACGAGTACCAACTTTAATAAAAAAGAGACATCATTTGACATAGTGACCACCAAGATTGACTCAAATACACTATATTCCCACCGGCCGTACTTAGTGAGGCTCAATAAAAGACTGTCATTCATTCTGGAACACAATTTCAGACTGATCATGCTTTGTTTCGATCTCAATGGACGCACAAATTCTATAGACAAGAAGGTCCCTCAAAGTTCAATCTAGAGACGTGAAAGTCAAAAGCATATCTTAAGAACAGTTACGGAGGTAGTTCGTCAGTCGTCGAAATTATCTTCGTCTCAGTGTAGGTTGGCATGATAGTTTATCAGCAGTGAGATCTACTAATGACTTAAACTAAAAGAATAAGAAAATTATTTGGATTTCTTTAGCATCTACTGAACTGACTGATGTTACGAAATTCAACCCATCAAGCTTAAAACACAATCAGAACTAGGAAAATCCTCAACAGTACTGGTCAGGGAAAGCTAAATACTTTCAGTCTTATCAAAGAAACAGGGAATTAAAATTTGTGTATCAGTGAGACTATTCCTGAAAAAGTTTTCATAATAATTACTGGTCCGGGAAATTTGTAAAGTGAGCATAATACTATGGAGAATGTTTTAATTGATCTCTAGCTACACTACATCTTCAAACAGTGTGAACGGGAAATCGACACGTTCCATAACTCTTAGTGAGCTTGGGAAGGCTATATCTGATTCAGGGCGATGGAGAGCAGCACGTCCTATTAGTCTAGCTCCAGATATATTTAGGGATGGTGGTCTGGTCTTAGCACTTGGAGTGACAGATCGCAGCTAGGATCTAGGAATCGGATGTAATTCTGTCTGACCGTTGTCGATCACTTAGTGTCCCAATTTACAGGACAGAACGAAAATTCTCTCTTGGTAAATATGGAGAAATGGGTTCGACTAAAATTATATCGATCTACCAGGAATTCACTTTTTAAACGTTCAGATAACAGCTCTTGGGATCTAAATGAGAACAAACAAATTAGTTAGCTATTAAATTATTAGGGCTGTCAGTCCGTTCGAAGTTACCGAATCGGTCAAAGTACACTCGTGATGACGTTCGCAATCAAACAAGTTAAACACTGGACCATTACAATTCTGCACCTACTTAAAATATTGAAAGAAGTCTTTTAAGATACATAAACTTAAATAGTTCATCAAGATAACAGAGTGATCATCAGTTTGTACAAAGCTTTTGTACGACACCATCAGGATTACAAAATTGCCACAAAATATCTCAATTTAGATAAGAATCCTCGCAGTTTAACTCGAATTTATGTTAAGAAGATCTAACATTACTGGACAAGAAGAAACAAGAAAACTCAAAACATCGGTAGTCTAATACTAGTTGGCTACAAGTTAATGCCAATGTTACTTACTTACGCCTGTTAGTCCTAATGAAGCATAAGCCACCGACCAGCATTCTCCAACCCACTCTCTCCCCGGCCTTCTTTTCTAGTTCCATCCAATTCTTGTTCATTTCTCTCATGTCTATCTCCATTTCCCGGGGTAATATGTTCTTTGGTTTTCCCCTTTTCTTTTGGCCTTGAAGATGCCATGTGAGGGCTTGTCTTGTGACTCAGTTGGGTGCTTCCCTCAATGTGTGTCCTATCCACTTCCAGCGCTTCTTCCTGATTTCTTCCTCCGCTGGGATCTGGTTTGTTCTCTCCCACAGTACGTTTTTGCTAATAGTGTCTGGCCAACAGATCCGAAGTATTTTGCGTAGACAACTGTTAATAAACACCTGTATTTTCTGGATGATTGCTTTCGTAGTTCTCCAGGTTTCTGCCCCATACAGTAGAACTGTC